GCGGAGGAGGCGCTTGGTGGGGTAGTGTGCAATCAAAAGCTTTGAGCCATCATTTTCAAGCCATTGAAAACGACGAATCCGTCGAAACGTCGGCCAGAATAAAGATTCCCACCCAACCTCGTGGCAGAAGCAAAATTATCAATTTGAAGTACAACAGACATGCCGAGGTTTCATGATGAGAGAACATGGAATATAACATCATAGACCGCTGTTTTGCCGGTGTGTCTTGCTTGTGGGTGTCGTTTGTTGTGTGTGTTTGTTGTGTGTGTTTCTTTTTATCGAAGATCCATAAATTTTCAATAGAGCTACAACGTTCATATCTAAATAGGATAGAAGATGCAGAGAAAACACTGGTATTGTGGAACAGGAAGTGCTAACTAAGGAAAAGGAGCTTCATAAGGAGCCCTGGAGGGCAAGAACCACAGAGTTCGCAACGTTCTACGAATCGACACAGTGAAACTTCGACTCTTCTTGGGTGATGTAGAGTATTAAGAAATCGTTGATGCTCAGTGACAGGAACTGTTGATAATTGCCAAAGGTCAATAACAATCCATAGATCATTAGTCTCTCGAAGCTCCGGCTAACCAGTCACGTTATTCACCTAAAGAAAAGTTGCTCCTCCAGTGGACCGAAAAAAAATTGATTTTTCAAATTCAAATCTGTACAGTCGTTGTCAGGATCAAGAATAGCAGGATGAGAGCTCGTAGCATTACCGTCCATTCAATTCCAATGGCTACATACTTTCGCGAAAAATGGACGGGATGATGAAAATACTTATTTATATGAAGAGATTGCCCAATTCTTCAGTATCATGAAGAGCTCTATGGCTGAGACCATTTTTCTCTCAATTTCCGGAATTTTCGTAGTCAGTCTAACCATGAGAACGTCTCACCATAAGAACATTCCATATGGCAATAGTTGCTTCTGCAGCAACCTGACTTTCATTTCCATTTTTTATAGTATATTTATGCTGAATGACCTTCAGAAGTACGTACGACTACCAATAGGCGTTTTGGAAGTGCACGGTGTATGTAATAGATGAGATTAGATGGTGTTCGGGTCATAATTCGTTCTCCGCTAGGCAAGATGGCTACCCATTAGACGCTTCCAAAGGAGTAGAAGGCTGGAATGCCAAGAGCGAGGTTTGAGCAGGGGTTTCTTTCTTATTTGCGGCTGCAGTCTGCTGTGAAATATGCGTGAATATTCGAACCTGCCTAAGCCTAATTTATTTAATTACAATCTACTTGGCTTGAACGAAACGAGGGAGTATGAGAAAATAGGAAAAATAATGATAGGTTGTCGTTTCAGTCGCAACGCGCAGTTGGATATGGCAAACGTGCACTGAACTGGGCTATTTTCAGACGACCGACTATGGAACCAACTCAATATTTGGGAGTACAATACCAATAGAGTAGGTTAACTCAACCTCTTCCAAGGAATCATGTGCCAGTGATCGAATCTTCGTTTCAGCTTTTTCTCTGATCAATGCATCGAACTGTTCGGTCCGGACTACACTCTTACTGAAACCTATAGGCGTGTAGACATCGTCAGCAAGAAGTACGGAGGAGCGACTGACTACAGGGTAAGGCTTTTCTCTACATGTAGGAGTTCTATACTGTAATTAATTGTGGGAGTTCAACAAAATGCCCTCCTATCTTCTTAGAATTAAACAATGGACACGACCATACTCTTACACTCATGGATCCCGTGCTTGAAGAAATTCCTACTGTTCCTGTTTACTGTTTATTGAGGACCTAACCTGTTCCGATCTCTCGAAAAACCACTCAACAAGCAGGCTTTCCAATCAGACTCTCTATAAGTTTGTTGGTTATTGAGGGAGGGAATCCGAAATCGCCATTTCAACCCATACTTCAGTGTGAGTAATAATGCTGATTCACGAACCAATTGTCCAAATGTTCTGACGAACAAGAAGAAAACGCACTTCCATTTTCGGCGTTGGTCTGTTCTCATTTGGAATGCGCATGGATAGGGATCCCAACCGTAACGTGGTGATACTCGCATGCGTGTCGGGGTAGAAGATGAATTGCAGGGGCGAGCACTGTGGAACCCCTTGTCTTCCTAGGCAAATGTACCCCAAGTAATCGATCCTTCAAGACCGAATTTTGTTCTTTGGGAAAAATTTGATATGGACATATGTGCGGTACCATTTCTGACAGAACTCGCCCTAGCCCCTAATAAGGCACTATAGGATAGTGAGTTGTATTTCTTTTCGTAAGCATCCTCTTAATATCGGAATTTCTGTGCTGCAACGTAACCTACTCGAGTGTCTCATATTTTGCCTGAAAGTAATTCTTTTCTGCCCTTATTACATTGGGTGAGTCAGGGGTTTATCGTAATTAAGGGTAACAAGGTCGTATTCCCGAATGGCTCCATTGATCCATGGAAATCACTAGGACTTCTCGTTGGGAACTCTGACAACGATATAGACGCATTCTTGATTGATGGTAAGTGTGCAAGAATAGCATTTAGCTAGATAAATATCGATTTTACTGATAACGGGCGAATTTCTGAATTCCACAGGTACGGCTCACTGTGCCGACATGTATCCCGCCTCACCTAATGACAAGCCATCATTGACAGCAGCTAGGTCTCGAATCCTGAAGAACCTGGATCGATGGATCCAAGATGCTTTATCCCCAACAGGTATGTGTTATGCTCCAATACGCGACTTTGACGTTTCAAATATAAACGCAGACCTCCGTGGTTGATACATTCCCCCAGTCAGTTTACAAGATCACGCACATATGGGTGGCGGAACTTCTCCCCGAATCCCACGGCCAGCGGCAGTGGTTCCGCGGCGACTGCCATATCCTTCCACTGGGAATTCAAATCTTTCCCTTCATAGCGCGCGAACGAGTGCGGCGAGTGCGACACGCCGTTCAGGGAGGAGGAGATTCCAACCCTGCACATAGTCAAGGGAATGTTGTGGGACGTTTGCGGGAGAGTGTTATTCGGAGTCTAGTCAGTGTCCATGGTGAGCGCTCCCATTTGCAACGTTAATGACAACAGCGAATCCTCCTCCACAGTAACTGTAGTACTCACAAACTGACTACGCAAAAGTAATTCGGAATAGGATTTTCCCAGGAAGAAGGGAATCAGGAAATCTGAACCTTGCTTTTGAAAAAAATGCTGCTCATTACCTTACAAAGTAATTTTGCTCCAGAAATTACCATCACTTTGATATTTCTAGCCAATTGCTTGGGAAATTTGAGATTTAAAGTAACCAAAGGCAGAAATGGAGGACACAATTCCAGGAAGCGTCTCTCGACCAGGACTTCTCACTACTTCGATTGTCATTCTTCTTTATTTTACTTTCATGTAATATAGCATGTCTACAAACCCTCGCCTAGAACAATACAATTATGAGAACTTTTAATATTGCAAAAATTTAATAAACATGACCAAATGTGTGAAGGCGTACTTCTAGGGAATGCGGCATGAAATAACAAATTCTTTAATGATATCACAGCTGCAATATTCTTTAGGAATTGTACAAAACTTGACAAAGATGAAGAGAAGTCATATATACATGCGCGAATAAGAGAAACCCTGCAAACGAAAGCAATCGAACCGGTACCAAATTGAATACATCTGTACAAATACCTTTGAACAAAGNCCATCAAGAACCCTCTACCACTGGGTTACCCAGTGATATTAAAGCAACAACTTTTTAAAAGAGAAGCAAAACACATAGCAAAGGAAGTTTCGAAATGAAAAAAATTGGAATTCCATTTAAAAGTTGTACGCGCCTTTACGTAAAAGATCATTCCCTGACATAACAGGCAGTATAATGTCGTCCATGTTGGGGCATACAAGATTCTTTTCGATAAGTAGTCGAAGCTTCGACTCGATCCAATCTGATACGGTCGACATGTCGACAGATCGATCACCAACTTGAGGAACGGCTCGAATAGAAGCAATGGGTGGTCGCCGAAATGCGTACCTGAAATGTGGGCGCATTGAATCCAAAACATACGAACAACTCTGGTCAGGTACAGGAAGTAAGGGAGCTAATTGAATTGAACGAAGCTTACCACAGCCGATCAGATGGAGGTGGTGGAATGTTGATGGTGATTGGGCCTTCAAGCATTTCCACTTCAACATTCAGGATGAGGGGAGTGGAAGAAACGTCTTCGATTAACTGAAAAATAACAACGCCTACCAATGGCTTTGTCAAAAGGTTGAGGTGCACTTACTTTGGCTACCTTCGGGAATTTGGCAGCTTTCTGGAAGAAACTGCTCTGTGCAGCTCGTTCTACCAGAGTAATGATTTTCTTTCCCGTGCGTTCTTTAGTACTTGGGCTAAAAACAACGACATGAACACGTAAAAATTAAACCTTTTTTTAACAGCATCGAGAAAACGAACCCGTCGAGGTTGTTTTTGGCGCCGAAGTCCTCATCGGGGCTACTTTCCGGACTCTCAGGCAAATCCTCATCTGAGTAATGCGACGTTGGGTACGCCATAGCATTGCTCAAACGAGAAAGCTTCCGTTCGGTTTCCACCTAAAATCAAACAACATAAAAGAAGAAATCATTAATGCACGGGAACTGAACGTCTTCAAACACAAGATTACACAGTTAAACAAATGTCATGACATACTTTTGTGGATCCTTGATGGAGTTTCAGAAGATTCACACTAGTTTGAAGAACCAAGCGAATACCACCTCCATACTTCATCTAAATCATGAAGATAAGCGAACTACAACAAAACCACAATTAGAAAAAAATCATCAACAGTCAATCATTTCGTTAACTTGGCTACCGTTTGAGAGAAGGCTGAAAACAAAAATTCCCATCGCATAAGCTGTTTTTCACTAGAATGTGTGCGACCACTTCAATTCACATGAAATCCAAGCACAAGCGTGATGCTCATCACAACTGCCTCCCCCTTTCCCCACCCTCCTGCTTCCCATACCTACCCCTTCTCGAAAAAACCTCCTTGAACCATGGCACCCTAGACAGCATGAATGTCTGCTTTGATTCCCATACGCAAACCCCTCCAGAGCGCAAATGAAGCACAATATAAAACGGCAGGTAGTGAAAAAAACACATCTCATGCATCTTATAAGGAGTAGCTATGTATGCGCATATCATCGATGCCCTTCTCCCCTAGCTGACGAAATTTCCATTTACGTAACAAATTATCGACAGTTTTACACTATGGAGCTCGAAAAGGGCTCTTACAATCTCTACATCAAAAAAGGAGCATGGCATCATGAAAAACAGAATAGCAGAGCTTAAGAAGGATACGTTTCAATTAACTAACTCACCTCCAAGTCTACCCAGATCCCCCATTCATTTAATTTCGGAGTATAGACACCAACGATTCGTGGAGCAGTTCTCCCGAGGCTCAGCGATGAAAGCTCCAAAGTTTCAATGAAGTACGGCAACTAGAAAAAGTGCACTCAGCGAGAACAGTTAGCTTCAGTAACAGGCAAAAACTGATGAGTTAAATTGAACACTTACATGAATCGTAGCCAACTTGCTTTGGATTTTGTGCTTCACTTGATTAGCCCAGAATTCGTCACGACAGAAGTCAAAAAAGATTCTGAAAAAAAACTGTGACAACATACATATACATCATCCTTCTGCTTCGAACTTTTGAACTTGCTCCGATTTTAGAAAAGGAGAGAGAGGAGAGTAAGTAGAAACTCTGCTACGATGGTCACTGCTATGATCAGCATCAATCGCTACCGATCAATTTTATCGTGTACTTGACGGATTATTTTCGATTTAGCTGCCTTCAGATCGACACTTTGTTCTCAAATTGCAGCATACGATTGGAGCCTCATCGAAGTAAATCTGTCGATTTAAAGAAGAGTCCAAGAGTCTGTAAATGTGCCCTTTAGTGAACTTCAGTTTTCACCCGAAAAACTAATAGGTTTGTCATCGAAGTGCTCATTGTGGTTCTCACAATCAGAGTACTAGTGTTATTCGGTGCATAAATAGGACTGATGAAAAAAAAAGTAGCTTGGAGATTAAACGGTGCAAAGGGTTTGAACGAGCTATAATACACATTCAAAAAGCTCTTTGACTTCAATCAAATCCAGAATACGCTTCAATAAGATAAGGAAAAAGGCTTTTGCAGAAGGGTTGCTTCGCTAAGTGAATAGTTTACTCGAAAGAGCACTCTCCTATAGCGAACGTGACCTTTAGTGTGTAGATCCCATTCATCATATTCATGCAAATATAATAATATTGTAACTAAGGAAAACTTAAAAGATGACGAATAGTACATAGAATGTCAAACCTAGTTGCAACTGAGTTGATGGATTCCACCAAGTCCGTGTTTTCTTCAGGACAACCAGGTCTCCACTTCACCGTGCCAAGGTCAAGGGATACAGTAGATCCTCGCTCAGGCGGAATCACTCCATAGCCAAGCATTATGGAAATTTGTCTAGAATCAAAAAATAACTTATTCCTAAACCGGAACCTAGAGAGAACACCAGACTTACTCAGCAAACTGTTTGTGAATCCTTTTGTAGACTGCGTCTTCGAACATTGGACTTGACGGTGACTTCGGTGGAGATTCATTCGCGCTATTCTAAACCAAACCAAATTACAGCTTATAGCTCATCATACGACAAAAAAAAGTGGCTTAAAAACTGACGTAATAAAGGCGCAATGAAAAAAAAANAAAAAAAAACGAAAAATTAAACATTTCGAGAGGATGTCGGTAAAAGAATTGATCAGTAAACAAAAAAAAAATTCGAGGGAAGGCTGTCTCAAATTACTCGTGCCCTAATTAGTTGAATTTTACTATTGAACTACATGTTTTCCGTCTTTGGGCCTCGATATTATAGCAATGAATAGGATAAATTATTTCCTCAACAATCATAAGCTTATTCAATCACTTTGGAAAGGGTATGGAAGAAAACTGTACCACGCTATTGCTCCTCTTTGCTAAAGGTCTTCGGAAAGTCGCTGACTGTGCACATGCTTCACGAAGTCTAAATGGAGCGATACTTATTTGAGAAATATTTAAGAAATAAGTGACTCACAAGTGAAACCATCGCTCCTTTTCTCGAGCAGCTCTCACGAAAAGATATATTGATCTTTCTTTTCCTGGCCGATGAGTTCCCTCAGAAATGCTCAAAAAATCCGGTACATGGTTGAAGGAGGAGGCGCGGCCTACACCACGCGAATGATCTGTATCGCTTTCGTCGCTTGAATCGGTTTCAGCAGTATAGCCCTCGTCATACGAGGAACGTTCACCCTCCAAAAATGGCAAATGATCAGGAGCAGTCTCCACTGGGTGCATTGACACAGAACTGAAAAAGGTTTTCTTCAATAAAAAAGCAAAACGATAAAAACGCAAAATGAGAGTGGAATCAAGTGTGAAAAAAGGAGGGGTTGTGTGAAATACACCGCACAATTTCCCATAATATAACCCTAGCCGGGTAGTTCATGCAAGATAAAGAGCACATCGTTGAATTCGCAGAAGGAGTTAGCAGTTCACTTTTCGAAAAGGATGGGTTGTAGTGACAAAAGAGGGAAAGGTGCGGTTTAGGCCAATCATTGAATGACCTTCAAAAAGTATTTGAGCCGTTATAAATTACTTCCCCTTTTCCAATTTCTCGCTCTCCACAGTCCTTTCACTCCCCCTCCCTCGAGTTCAAGGCTCAAAAGTCATCTCTAACATCACCCTGGACAGAGCATAATTTCAAATAGCAGCAAAAAAAGCTTAAAAGGATTACGCCACCCGAAATCACGGGAAAATTCGGTGGGAGCGCCCCCACTTAAGTTATCGTATTATCAAAGAATTTCATAGGCATAGGATCTAAGGCCCGAATGGGCCGATACCGTTCAATGATTAAAAATGTTCCCAAACACCATACAGAATAGAAATTAATGTAGATGACCACGAAAATCATGACCGATTTGCAGTACACTTCAAAAAAAAAAACACGAACACTAAATAAAAAAAAACCAACCGTGATAGCGGTTTTGAGAGGTTCATAACATCTGATGGTTTCCGAGCAAACTTAATGTGGATAGGATACTTTCGGCTCCACCATCGTCGCTGGGCCAAACGCTTTGGGCGAAGCGATACCTGAAAACATCATGTACAATACTGCATTCTTAAATAGTACATAAAAATTACATAGGAAGAAAGATCAACTTATTGAATATTGAATATTTTTCGGGTACTCAAATTCTATGTAAGTGCTATTCGTGAAGGGTTTTAAAGTGATACGTTCAGAATCGCCTCCGAAAAGATGGCCTTGGACGTTTTGAGAGGTTAACGCGAAAGAAGCGAAAAATAAATCGAAGGATAAAAGCAAAGCCACTATTAACGTACGTAAGCTCCCTCAAGGCTGTACATTGTCTGTGAAACCATCGTAGGTTGTGGCTGGGTTAGCGTAGGATCTTCATGAAAAGCATGCTTAAGCACTGCTTTTGCCGGACGAGAAATTCGTAAGGTAGTGCCCTAAATTCCATAGATCGACAGAAAGCTCAGATCCAGAGCTGTCCAAAAATAAGTGTAAACATACGCATAACAAACCTCCAGTCGAACAAGCACAGACTGTGCATTATTGACATGGTAAGTTGCAGGAGAATACTTGCCTTTTAATTCATTCATCCATCCCTAAAGTCAAAAAGAGGTAGTCTATGTCCAATCAAGCTGTTTCTGACGTGACTGATGCAGAAATTGGATTGAAGGAAATACCCTATATACAACGCCATCGTGTATCCCAAGCGCATCTCCTTCACACTCGTCTGCTTCCCGTGCTTGCTCAAAAATTCCATTTTCCTTGGCGATGTTCTCGAGATTAGCAAAAGAAGGATGGCGCTGGATCTAAATGAAAGGTTTCATTACCGGGGTTTGAAGGCAATATGCCTTCAAAGGCACGGCGATAAGGGAGGAACCCAAGAATGAGAAAGTCTTTTGGCCAAAAGATTGATGAATAAAAACAGTGCTTTTCAGTAACGACGCTGCTTGAAAAACACATTATGCTTCATTTTCAACGATAACGTTGGTAAGACATCAAATAAAAGAATAAAGTTTTTAGCGCTACGATGCATGGTGCCCAGGGCTGTCCCAAGATTCTACCTATTAATGCTCTACAAATGTGACGACAGCTACTCCTACTTGCTATATGCGGATAGATTTCATTGTGGTTACATTTGAAGTAGAATTCTAGTGATATTAGCAGGAGATACGTTAACGCCAACAGGACAACTATTGTGTACAGACTGATTGGAAGGCTAGCGGACTAAGGAGCTGGTTAGCAAAAAGAAACAGATGGTGAATAAACTCTTGCATCAGTTTAAGGTTGAAGTAAAATCTCCATATAGTCACTGTTCTGCGGCTGTTTCGATCAGCAGTTCGCGAAGCTTTGCCAACAGCAGTATTTTCTTTCCAGCCTCTACTACTTTTCCTTACTTAGATTTGCCTTTATCGCCTCCTCTGCTCAGCTTCGTATGTTTATTTCTAAAGTGTTTGCCTTGGTACCTGACCTCAAAAATCATGAAAATGAATAATTTTCACAGCTCATCAAAGAAATTCAACTCTAATGTTCAATAACACGTACATGCTCATATGTGCCAATATAAGAATTTTCACCGAGAAAACTTTAGTGAGAAAACTTAAATTCAAACAAACTCTACAAGATCATGGAATGTGTTTGCATGCGATTTTATACTATTATTATATGCAAGAAAATTGGTATAGGTTTCATCCAATTTGAAAAAAATCAACTCACCTCTGGACGTGGTTCAGAAACAAATAAGTACAGGAAACCAATGAATGACAAATATAGACCCCAACACAGACCGGTGAAAAAACCTAAAAACATCTGCCTGAGAAACGAATTAGAAAAAGAGAACAGGACCGGTTAGGAGATAACAAGAATTACTGAAGTCAAACGTACCAGGACAAACAAACGTGACGGAGAGCAGCATACCGAGCAATATCATACGATATTTAAAGAATGGCATATTTCGGAATCGCTGCCCCAATGAAGACATCATCGTCGGCTCCTCCAAACCCTGTATCATGTTTGCTCATAAGAATTACTGCTGATCACACTTCAGTGATTCTGAGTGTACCTTCGGATGCACGTCAGCCTGAATTTTTTCGTCCTTCTCACTTGGTTGGCTAGATGTTTGTTGAACAATAGCACACTGCGCAGCAGCTTCCGAAACCTCTACAAAAACAGGTATAGAAACAGTTCAAAAATGTCATCTATGACATTGGTCTTATGGAATAGGTCGTAAACATACCGGGAGATTTTGAGTGTTCCTTAGTTCGAGCTACCAACTTTTTGCCTTTCGACTTGGCTTTGTCAATGAAAGCTCCGATTTTACTGGTAGCAGACTGTTCCTACAAGATACGGAAGCTAGAAATCATGACAACAAAACTGTGTTAGCTGCTACTAACACACTACAGCAAGTGTGCGTGTATGTGTATGTGTATATGAATGTAAGTATGTACATACGTATGTATGCAGGTGTGTGACCGAAAATTGTCCCTCAGGACTTTGACCGTTCAAATTTCGGTTTGGGATGTGAAGAGATCGGAAATATTTGATAACAGAAACTGATAACGACGATATTGGCAAGTAGCCATAGAAGGCAAAATCAGCGAAAGCGTGACGAATTTCCTGTCAACAATGAAACCTTGTCACTTGGTAGGAAGTTCGGTAAGAAAACGATACGATCGAAGACGATGTGTGGTGGGAATCAATAACAACTTTCAAGGTCTGACAAGATTCACGTTTGCGGTAGAACCTTGGCACTTAAGAAGAGGCTATTAGGAGACCGTAGGTGGTTGTTGACAGAAACTGATAAGGGCTGATAAGTGGACATTGTCAATGAGTCTGACTCCCATCGGTCATCAGTCGAACTTTGGTACTGCTAGATTTAGGACGTGAAGAAATCGTAAATGGCTGGTGACACGAACTGATTACCAATTCATCAGGACTCCACTGTCCGAGAATTTCAATCAGTGGCTCATACCATGTAGGTGAGGACCATAGACCTGGACAACAACTTTTGATATTAACATCAATCGATTGGTAACCATCATTTAAGGCTTCCTATTGCACCTTTCGAGATATTCGCGATCATCATAAATGTTCACTTGTTACGAAACGAGGAATGACGGGTCACCCAAGCATTCCAACCCTGTCACAGGAAGGAGCGAAGAACGGCGTAAGAAGGGCGATCCGAACGGTTTCACATTGAAACTATTAGGCTCCGAACAGTACGCGAACCCAAACTTCGTCAACATCACTCCCATGCAGCGCTCTGTGCCAAGCAACATTACACAAGTGGAATCTATGCAATCCACTTCACGACTCCCCACAATGAACAAAATATGCCTCTGTGCAATCTAGCAATTAGTTAAAACCTACAGGTTTGAGCGAAGAGTTCAATCAAAATTAGTGACATCGACGCTTCGAGTGAGCGCAGATTCAACACAAAAAAGAATACTTGAAGAAGCTAGAGCAAAATGGTTCACAATCGACAGCCTAGATTTCCTGTTTACGCCTATGAATCTCTACAATACAACTTATTACCAAAAGCAGCTCATAAGAGCTTGCTTCAAATACACAGATGAAAGGATATATAACGCGGCCCCAACTTTTAGGTCCATAAACTCTTAAATTTTTGCAGCTTTTGGTCAACGAAGATCCTTTTACGATTTAAAAGGACTTTAGTTAGATTTTTATGGGTACTGCAGTGTGATTTAGGTACCAGAGAACAACACACCTCGATGGTAAACCATGCCTCCAGATCAAACAAATCCGTTGAAGGGAATACGGTAATTTTCTCTCCACCATCTCTGTCACTATATGTCGCTCCGATCATTGCAGAGGCTGACTCAAGAACAAAAGGAGAAGACCTAATCAAAAACCATTTCTACATAGCAAGCATGTAAGGTGAATGAATTAGCGAAATGACACGGTAGTGAGGGTAATGCCACGTAATATTGGGTAACGTGAGGGTAATGCAGTGTTTGTGAGGTGATGTACCCGGCAGTATTGCATAGGTTATGAGATTTTATCCAAAAGGATACATTTCATGATCATCATGTCGTTCTCGATACTATGAAAACGATAGGTAGAAAAGCCGAAATTAATTTACGGAGGTGCAGAGGTATGAGCGGACTACAACACAGATGGTCCTGGTATCGTTTGCCGATTTGATACCTTCCAAGGCCAACTGTAATAGATCTCCATCCCTTCGGAGTCAGCCTCATTATACCAGAGTCGTAGGGGGCATAAAACCGCTGACTGTACATCGGTTGCCCATCGCAGCAATTTCCTAGTCCACGCCTTCCAAACGTAACTGCCACTCTTTTCAAGTTTCCTATCTTCCTCTAACTGTTGTTGTCACTTCCTTCCTCCAACCAGCTGTGTTTTCACTTCGCTTTCCTTATCCCTTCAAAATGTGTACGCTCTCGATCCACAGGAACAGGTTATGGACTTCTGGTCAAACACACACATAAAGTGAGCACACAAACATTTTTACCCATCGACCACCAAAGTATTCACTTAGAGACTTATGTTTGGTAGGAAAGAAGCTCACTCATCCCTGAAGGTCAAGATCTCTGTGAAAGACTTGGGGCTAGTTCTAGGAATAGCACAACTATGACCAATTTCACGATAAGGCAAGAAATTTACGAGATCGGGCAGAAAAATTGCTGCGAAAAC